AGAGTCACCTATTGAAATTGCTGTTTAGTATAAGACATTATAATCATTATAGTCATAGTTATTTTTATTTTGGTACCTAGGGGTTAATTCGAAAAACGTTACAAGTGGAGCTCATTAAGAGGTAATTAAATCACATTGTTCATTAACATCTTTAGAAGTTTTCATATTTTAATTATCACTAAATTTTAGATAAGACTTTTAAAATAAAAAATAAGCAAAATGATTACATCCGTATAAAAACTTGTTTTAACCGGAAATTGATTTAAATCTTAATTTTTAAATAATTCAAACATTCAATAAATAAAAACATACTTCATTTTCAAAACCGAAAATTAGTTAAAATAGTAATATTGCAAAATGTAATTAAAAAGTTAATAAAATGTATAAACTTATGCTTCGTTTGATATTTCAATGTTTTAGGGTACCTTTAATGAAATGATAAATTTCAAACGATTTTAATAATCTTTATTATCCTGTATTAATCGTTATAATTTGTATAATCCTTATTATGTTGTACAGTACCTATAATACTACACAATATTCAATAATATAAACCTTTAATACATTTTTTTAATTTGATTTTTTTTATGTATTCTATTTTGAATTTTTTTGGAGCTTAGTATGTTAAGTTTGAAAAAATAATAATTAAATGTATAACGTTTTAACGTTTTAATATATTGAATGTATACTATACGTATTTGCGTATTTCATACAAAAAAAAAAACAAAAACAAGAAGAAAACATCCAATGCTTGTAATTATTTTAAAATAAACATTGATGAATAATTTAGTACCTACCATTAATTTTACATTTTTAATTGATGAAATGTTTGATGGTAAGTACTCATTTATATGCAGTCCGCATAAGGTCAGTTCACATAATGATAATATTGTAGTATAACTACACATCTACATAAAACGAAATTAATACCATTTAAACAACGCAAAATTAGAAAAAATGAAAATAATTACGAAAACCACTAAACTATTTCTACAATATTACATACCTATTTACGTCCCCGTTGTTAAAATCTTTCAGCTGTAGGTAAATGTCACTGGCTGAACAGTATTGTTATCGTAAGATGATGAACAATCATTCACTCGACGATCAGTTAAACTAGGCGGGGTTTTTTATAATAATATATTAAGAAATTAATTTCAGATTTTATTCTGCCATCGTGATATGCACGTATAATAACAGTACTAAACGCATAATACACATAGGCTTACTATAAACTGCACTGTTTATCTAATCAACTCTAATTCGGATGGTTTCAACGACATTAATATTGTATAATAATATTTTAATCATGTCCGTCAATCGAGATTTTGAAACTATACGTCTACCCACGGAAAACAGCAGCTGTGTGCTACTCATAATAACAATCATTTTGACATTGAACATAAGAATATTAACGATGATTAATAATATTATATTATATTTTATATATTTTATTTAATGTTTCTATTTGATTTTAAATTTTTTAAATTTTAACTTCGATGAATAATATTTTTTTTAGTTTTTCGATACATAAAAATCGAATTTAAAATTAGTAGCTTATTGTGATCATTATAAGTATTTAAGCTTCGGATAAGCGGAGTAGTAGACCAACATTTTGTAGGTAATCACGCACCACTGCAATTCTCACATCTATATTTTAAATATGTATAACACTCATAAACTACTCGAGATGATTAGACAAATATTCTGCTTTGGAATATTAAGTTAAAAATTGTATTTTCAAAAAAGTAACTTAAAAATTGTCAAGAATAAAAAATATTAAAATAAATATTTTTATGTATTTATTTATTTTTATAATATATTGTATACTATAATAACAATTAATAATAATATAATAAACGCTGTTTTCGGAAAAAATATGTAATGTGTATCTATTACTACTAATTTCTTGTCGTTTATAGAAATATGTAATAATCAATAACCAATTAATGTTATGACTTAAGTCATAGCTATGGCCTATGACCAACATTTGTTTAAAATTTGTTTCGGTAAACACCTATTTTATAATTTTAAAACATTCAATCGATGGAGGTATTTCACTATGATAAAAAGACTTAGGCCAATGGATACAGACCATTTTGTAAAAATCATATTATATTTGATCGATGCATTTACAACAACTCGACGACTGGGTAGTTTCATTAATGTCTACAACTGCGAGTAGACACAATTGAGGATTTTGTTGAGTAAAACATTGAAATTCGGTTAGTCGGTAAGAAACTCAAAATGACACTGTACAGAGCACGGAAAATCATGTGTTTATAACATATTATTATATTTAGGTAGGAAGGTAGTTATATTTCTCAATACATATTGCGTTATGCAATGTGCTCCGAGTACGCACGTGCGTGTGTACAACAAATAAGTCGTCCGTTCTCTCGGTAAATATTTGTTGTGAATTACTGATAATATGACTAATGACACAAACGTTTTATATAACAGTCATATTTTATTGTTGACGTCGTAAATCGTAATAATAATATACATTAAGAGTGGTCTACACAGTGGCTGTGGGATGGAGAACTATTTGAATCAATTATCGCATATTTTCGTGTCTGTAATTGGTGGGTGGGTGTTTTATAGTGAGGCCGCAAGTCCTCGACGCAAATATCATGAAAAATCTAATGATTAATATTTGTTGCCCGCAACTATAGAGCTAGCCCTGTGTGACTCACTTAGGTGTTGTGCAATAAATTCGAGCCGGTGGTAAAAATATTTAAAATACACAATTTACTTAGGACATTATAAATGTCCGTGCCACCACTTATCCCTAATGGCCGATGGACAGTCCACACCTATTATAATTTCACAGTGAAAACTCTAAATATCGGACACCCTCGGTTACTGAAATGTTGTCCAATATTCGGAGGGTTCGGTTTGTATGAAGTGTGTAGTTTGTTCCTAAAAAAAATGTCTCCCATTTGAAGGTGTCCGTCAAGAGAGGTTTCATTGTGTTATGATACTTTATTATTATATTTTTGTTATTATACTCCTTATAAGAATATTATAAAAATGTAGGTATAATGTCTACAAATGTAGCTTACATAAATGCTAATTAAAATGCAACAGCATTGTGCCGATGGGATCTTTTACTAGTTTTACTTAATACTCAAAAATCGTAGACATATTTCAGAGTTACAATTATACTATTTTTTGATAAGATAAAAATCGTTTGTACAACGCAGGTTAATTTCTAATCAACTAATGAATTCAATAAACATTTTTTAAATTTTCTGAAAATTCCGCAATTATGGAAAGTCCAGTTTTTCTGTTTCATTGTCATGTCAGGGTTTGAACTTATTTTCCAGAAACAAAAAATACAACATTTTATACAATACACTTACGATTTTAAGTAATCAACTAAATAATTGACATATATCCTTTTTCATATCAAGCTTTTAAATTTTCTGTGGTTTTAAAATAATTTGATAATTGAGGACCTATATCTATACTATTTATGTTTAAATATTATAATATGTTTGTAAACGTATCGATGGAACGATTTTTAAAATGTCTAAAGTGCCTACTTTGGTACCAACCAATTTTTTATTCATTAATTAATTTTTGTTATAGTAATAATTTTACTATTAGTCATTAATTTTTAACCAAATCAACAATCGTCAGTCACAATAACTATGTAACCTTAACTATAAACTACCTGAACAGACACAGTTACGTCATTGATATAAATATAAGATAACTAAACCCGCCTTTAGAAACCAAAAACTTTCGTAGCTCTTGGAAAAATGAACATCATATGTAAAATAATCTCCAAATTGTAATAATTATTAGAATACACTTGGAATTCTTCGGCACAGGTTCTCCGAATCAGTGGCGTGTCAGGGCTCAAAATTATGTACCGTACCCCCAACAACATAACATATAATATCGTACAATACTCATGGTTCTAAGTAATCAACGAAATTGACGTTTATTAATTTTCTTATCACGGTCTTGAATTGTTTACGGTTATAAAATGATTTGATAACCGAGAACAGGGATGGCAAATCCATGGCACGCGAAAAGATTTTGTGGGCATCACTCGAAAATGTTTATTATATATATTATATATAAATTATATTGTAATATTTTTGGTAATAGGTAAAAAGCATACGGCTTTTATCGGTCATTAACGATTATTCAATTTTATCTGTATATAAAATAATAATACCTATATAATATGACATATAAGATAACAAAATATTATATTTTTTATATTTTTTTCATGTCACTCTCTAAAAAAAATTTAATTTTGGGCACGTAGTGTTCAAAAGGTTTGCCATCCCTGACCTAGTACTTATCTTATTTATCTTTGGACTCATAAAAAAATAATGTACCTATTTTTTTATTTCTTAATTTTGTATACAATAATTATTATTATTTTACGAATAATTGATTGTTGACCAAATAAACAATCGTCAATTGTAACTATGTAACCTTAACCACAGACATATTCGAACAGACACAATGAGAATATAAGGTATCTAAACTTAGGTATGTTAAAATACCAAAAACTTTAGTAGCTCTCGGGTGTTTCGCGTGAACACATATTGTAATGTTTAATGGAAAGCACGTCAAATTCACCAGTTTAGGTCATTGGATTGAGTGGCGTGTCGGGTCTTAAACTTATTTTCTAGACCAAACAATTGACATTAAGTCTTATGATGCAAAGTAGGTAGGTAGTCAACGAAATTGACGTTTATTTTTTCCTCAAACTTTCGGGATTTTCTCTAGCACGAAAAAACAAAAGTCACAACTCATTTTATAACTGTGTGTTTGTCGAAGCCTATTTACTGTCCGTATAGTACATAGGTAGTTCTAAATCCAACCACACAATACGCACTGTTCGACCGGTAACTGTAAACAGGTTATCAACCATACGGTTAACCGCGGCCCCAAGTTTAAGCAGCCACAGGTATATTACTTACACGTGAAATATTTTTTAATTTTTGGAACTTCAAAAAAAATGCAAGACTTACAAATATCACGACGCTCAGACAGAATATCGTGTACTTCAACAGGTTGATGTGTTTCTCCAATTTGGCTGCGGCTTTTGCCAGGGCGTTTTGCGCACTCACCACTGTCATGGTTATTCCGTCTAATCGATGCTGTTCTCGTGTGACACGATAATTTTTTTAAGACGGTGCGGTTTTTGAGTTTTATATTTTTCGATTCCGCCGTGTGATCGTCGAATTTTTCGTACAACCGCCGTCGGTACGCGAACAAAACAAACTGCTCCGCGTGGAAAACGGTCGAACGCCGACAAGTGGCCCGATAACAGTATAGGATGTAGATAGAAGGCTGCAGGTATTTTTTTATTTACACTGCAGCCGCGCCTAAGTCTTGACATTCCGATAACGAAATCGTCGTTATCTTTTCAAGATGAAATGCCATTTTACGTATTGTAGTCACCTACAACTATAATACTAATAATAACAATATGATATTATTGTGTGACTAATAATAATGGTCGTAAGATGTTCCGTCCGTGTATACTTTATAGTTTTCTACCATCAACGATATGCGCTCCTACACGTAATAATAATGGTAATGGTACTGACTTTGACTATAACTGCCAGGTCATAAAATAGTCAAAAAGTTAAAGTTAAGTGTAAAAGTCTACACTTGACTTTCTAACTCAACTTTTTTTTAATGTAATTTTTAAATTCCGACTTAACTGATTTTTATTGATGTAAACTTAATAAATAACGACTTACTTTTGACCAAATCCAAGTTACGCTAGTTCGTAAACAATTAAATAATTAATATAATACGATTATTATTGATTATATTACGTACGTTGCATAATCATTTAGGATTTATTATTTCAAATCATATTACGGATTAAAATAAATTAACTTGATTAACTTAAATATAACTTGCGAAAAAAAATAAAAAATAGGATAACTCTGAACTTAACATTTTTTTAAAATGTTTTCTATGAACTTAACTTAACTGAACTCAATAAAAAATTGTCCAGGACCGCTACTAAGACTATTACCCAAGCACTATTGCTTTGTCTGTAAGAAAAATTATTATACCGACATAACAATAATTATTATAAATTACGAATAACACGTCCGATTTGTAAGAAAAATATAGCAGGTACGGTGAAATCTCCTTCTAGATACTGGTCACTCTCGCTGAAGTTCTGTCCACTATTCTGAGGGTTCGGGGAGAGTTATTATTAACGGCTAGATCTATTAGTTCAGGATCACAATAAATGTAGTTTGTTTTAATTTGTTTTATCTGCGTGTACATCACTCATTGCTGTTAATACATAATACATTATATATATATATGTGTGTGTGTGTGTGTGTGTGTGTGTGTGTGTGTATGTGTGTGTTATATTTAAGTAATAATTCAAATTTGTGAGATTTCCGTCAGTCGTTGGTTTATATAAAATAAAAGTAAATAAATAAAAAATAAATAAATAAATAAAACTCACAAGACTGTTAGAATATTGTGTTGTCATGATACAGCCTAGGTATATAATATAATAAGCCAAGCTCAATATAAAGGCAAATGTAAATTAGTTCCTACAGGATAAACAAAAATAAGTATATTAGTTCCTACTTTCTTAAGTTCACAGTTTATCTGCTGTACTTATTTGATTAATATAATACATTATTATAAATCGTTTAAATTAATATTTTTTAAATAAAATAAAATAGATACCTATTATGATATTTTTATATGTTAAAAAGTGCTAATGTTATGTGCTAATGTCTAAAAATGTTTTTTGAACATAATACTGTCATAATAAACTGCATAAATAAATAATTGCAATTTTGGCATAGTCGAATTTTATTATTGATCGATTTTGTTTGTTTTACAAACCAAAATTTCATGGCTTATAAAATTGTATTTTTCAACGCATATTTTACTCATTTTTGCTTGGTGAATTTTTTTTGGTTCACATTTTGGGGTAGGTAATGTATCTACTTGACAACGTTTGATAAAAAAAAGTATGAAATTTGGTGATAAAAATGTAGTGTTTGATTGGCTTTGTAACTAATAAGTAATAACAAACTTATTTTTTTTCGTATAGAAACTTACACATAATATTGAAGTTTGTAGGAATTAACGAATGCAATTTTCTAGCTGCTCACATGTTCCTCAAACAAAATTTCGCTTATCTATCGCATTGAGTCTTTGTAAGGTCAGGGTGGTGCATTGTTTATACTTTATATAAATTGTGCTCAATTGTTTGACTTCATTCAGCAGTGACTTTGTTTTCGTCAAAATTGAGTTTTTGGTGTATATCGATAAATATTTTAATTCTCTATCGAATCTTATTACCAACACAAGTTAGGGATTTTCTCATTCAAAATTCGTATAGATAGATAATACTATTACAAAGGAGGAAGAGAAAATTCAGAAGCAAACAAGCAGTATGTCCAAATAGTAGAACAAAAGGCAGTAAGCTATCTGGAGTTACTGTTGTTCCGAGTAATTTTTGTATTTACAGAGCAGTTTGTCAAAAAAAATTCAAATGTATTTCTTAAATTTAACACGAGTATCGAAATAGAATTTATATTTATAATTTGTTAAACTTTACAGGTAACTATCGATAAGTAATGATATCATCTAAATCAAAACAAAAAATAATTACATTAAATGCGTTCTGGATGCTCAAACAATTTTTTTTTTTTTTGATTTGAGATATTTCAGCTCAATGATATTTTAATATTTCACTAAATTTGAGTTGATATAATATTAAAACTTACACGTGACTAGAATTTATTTGTAAACCTATCTACAATTTCAAAACACGTCATTTGAATCAATGTACTTATTAATATACACATATGGCAATTTTAATATAATGCGTTAGACAGTTATGCCAAAAAAAAAAAAATGTGATAATAATTGTTTTTTTTGTTTTATGATTTCATGTTGAGCCGTAATATTCCGTCCGTTGGAGCACATAAATAGCTGTGAAAAAACTTTTTGCATTTGTCCAATAGTTATTACACGTACAACATAATAATATAATAATGACATAACATATTTAAAATTTAAAAATTTGTTTTATTTTTACACTACTGCAGGCCAATGTGCTGAAAAGTGTTTTCTTATTGTTTCCTGAACAACTATACATAGGTACGTCTTTGGAGTTACTGTTTAGTGGTTTTTGACGGCAGTAACTCGTATGAGGTAATTGTTCGGTTCTTTCCGTAAATACTTAGTTTCCGGCAATATTAATGTCTGTTTTAATTATTACCTACTCATCATCGTATTGTTATTAAAGCGATATTGATTTTGTATTACAAATTGTTGCCGGCAACAGTAGTAGTACAATTAACTCGCCCCAGTTAAGTCCTGCAATTCGTCATCTATTTTGCGTCTTATTGAACAATGATAATATCATTATATTATGCACACTGTTAAGTGTACAGCTGTGTATACAGTGTTCGTGTAGTGATGTCATTCACACACGAGATAGTCATGTAATCCTGTTAACGATAATGCCGATAAACTACAATGAAATACAATTGATTTCATTATATTATTGTTTATGTTGCAGTTAAATTAAGTTAAATTGAAGTACCAAATGTTTGAAAAACAACAAAGTTATTACAAACCATCACTGTATTTTCACCCAATTATATCCAATTTATTGAAACTTTAAAATTCCATGTTATTGTTTCCATCAGTTTAAATTGAGCTATATCATTATAGTATGATTTATGTTGTAGTGACACAAAGTTCAAATGTAAGTACTTTAATGTTTAAAAATTATTTAAGTCATTAAAAAACACAGTACCGCAGTAATGTACAAATTATATACATTTTTATATTTTATACCGCTTTTACCAGTTAAGGGTAGACCAGTATGGGGAAAACCTATGCATATAAATATGAATTCAATTAAATGTTATTCATTTTAACTCTTTTGGTTTTTTTAAATAGTCAATTATTGAGTTTTCCATACCAATTATAATTAATATGATATACCTGTTTGAATGCAATTATAGAAATTCGTGTTTTGTAGGGTTTGTTTTAAATGTAATTTCGATTTTCGTAGATATTTTTGGGTACCTATTCAAATTATTGTGCTTATTAAGAGCAATTTGAAATTAATAGTACTATTATCGTTAGGTATAGTGATTTATTTTGTTTTGAACAGGTTCCCCAAATGTTCAGGAGTGAAGCTGCTTTGGTCAAATTCATCGTCAGCAATATTGATACGAACAATTCTCTGAGCTTAAATAAATCAAGCCAGTCTAACCAAAAAGTCACCTTAATCGTCCTTCTGACAAAGTCGGGACTAAGTGGTAGGGAAAATGTTGGACCAACATTGTTGTTGTTCCACATCATACAATACTATCACAAGTTAGGAAATGTCACTTAGCAAGAGTTCCTTAGCATTCGTGTATAAACTACTCATTTTAATACAATGAAATAAACTATAGTTAGAAATACAATTTAAAAAGAATTTAGTTACCTTAATACGTTATTAGTAAATGTTGGCTAGTATGAATATATTTTAAGTAATTATCTTAATATCAACAATCGTAAATTAATACTATTAACTAAAGGACAAACACACACTTCGGAGATATTATGAGATGTTCTAAGCTAGCACGTTTAAATAGCAACAAGTGGTACTGGTAAAATAGTATCTTATATAGATTGAAAACAAGCAGAGCTGGTGACCTGTGGAACTAAGAGGTCACACCATTCGTCCCTCCGACAAATCAGGACTTGGATGTTGAGGGATTGTTGGCCCAACATGGCTGTGTGTCCATAACGCACGACACAACTAAATCATAATAAATCCAAGACAACAACAGGTGGTGCACTTGATATATTATCTTATAAAATATACTGTACATAAGGAGAGCGGGCAACGACCAGCTGAGCTAAGAGGTCACCTCAGTCGTACCTTGGACTAAGTCGGGAATAGGTGATTCGGGGATTGTTGGCCCACAATATTGCTGTTCCTCCGCAACATAATACGGCACAACACACAACTACCTATATTATTTGAAACGGCGAAATACCGAACTCGTAGAATGCAAGTCGGAGGGCATAGCAATAAATAAAAACACCGTGCGTTAGAAAAAGCCAGTAAAAATTTATGAGCGCTCATTTTCAGTCGTGTAACATTAACTCGATAGACCCCGACGGTCCAGACGCTACCGCCGACCTGAAACCCGCAAGCACCATGATTTATTTATTTATTACTGGAAATACATCATATACAACGCGGCGGCGGCAGTGTTGGGTAAATATGAGCTCAGCGTTACTAGTATATAACGATATTATTATAATGTAGATCGGTTGTTAT